CTCCTGCACCCAATAGAGTTGGGGGTGTAGGGGTTCAGGATGGGGCTTCGCGGTCTGGGGATTCGTGTTTCAATAATCTGTAACTTATGGTGATTGCCGATCTTTCAAGGATTCCATATAAATTTCTTACCTGCGGTGCATTGGAAGCTCTGGCTGTGAGGCAATAGTGCGTACGGCTAGATCAAGCAGCGCCTGGAGTGTACAAACTAGCGTAGCAATGAAACCGCAAGTGCCGATGATGTGAGCTACCTCTTTGATCCCACACACCATGTTCTTGTCTCACAGCAAGGGCCTGGACTATGGCACATCTCCCCATAGGCACATCTCCCCATACTTCAAAGAGTGTCATATTAAGCTTTCGAATTTAGGGCTACTTTAGGGCTGGCTTGGAGAGTGTGTTTAAGGCTGGCATTTAGGTTCACGGGTTAGGGTTGGAAAAGCGCATCTCCAAGAACTCTAGTGGATTGATCGCAGCTTCCTTTCTTGGGAATATATTTCTGGTTCTTCATTGCGATGCTTTTGAGAACTTCAGCTGAACCCTAAACCGCGTTGTTCTCTGTAAAAGCAACCAAAATAGACGAGCAACGTTTCACTCTGAGGCCAGGTGCCTACCGTCAGAACCCAGGCGTGGGCAGAATGGGTCAAATCACCGTACCCGTAGCGACAGCCCTGCCCATATGTGTGAAAGACGTTCCCTGCTCAGATTTTTCAGGCTGCTTTTTTCGGAGCTAAACTTGTCATAGCATGGAGACTTGATAAAGAATCAAATTTGATTCCTCAACTCCTCTTCCTCAACAGCAACCGAGGAATTCTTCCACATGTTTTGAACTCCTTTCTGGTGGTGTGACTTGTAACCCAACATGGGATGCCTTCCATTACTGCTTGCTGCTTGCTATTAAGGTAAGAGGAATGGATCCATCCCCAATAACTTAGTCTTAAGTATCCACTCCTGCATTCCCTGCCAGCAGCCAGCAAGTGTTAGGACATCCTTCTGGAACCGTGCATGGTTTTGGGCCGCATTGCGGGCCGTGAAGCCACCTCCCTAGGATATACGTACTTCCATGGCACAGGAGGGTGTCTATAAAAAAAATATATGTATACATAAGGATGTATAACGGACATCGCTTTTATGGAACCCGCATATGGCATCAAGTCTGCCTTTGACAGGGCAAAATGCCAAACTGCGCAAGACTCGTCAGTATGCAGAGAGGTTGAGGCTTCCAAAGCTGGCTTGGAGGATAAGAGCTTCTACAAGAGCTGCGTTAAAACTCGAATGGTGTGATACGAGAAAAACCATCAACGGTGTTGTGTGGCGTGCTCTTTGAAACCGCAAGCGAAGTCCTAAACATTTCCCGCATGGCCCAGAAAAAACCTGGATGGAGTCCTAGGAAACCATGACAAGCAGCTGAAACCGACAGTCCTTGGCTCGTCAAGCTTCCACCTCTACCAGCAAGATCCTGCGTGTATGGATGGTTCATGACGGTTAGGGTTGCGGCGCTGGTTTAGGATTGAGGGTCTATAGCGCTTGAGGTTTGTGGGGTGGGGTTCAATTTTAGGCTTTCGTGCCCAGGGTTCAAGCTTTAATGCTGTCTGTAGTACTCTAAGTCAAGCCCGTGGACCTTCCTTGAGCTCTGAATTTCCAAGGCTAAGCCATGGGTTGTAAAAGATCACAATTCAGAATGAAAAAAGTGAAGGCTGCCTCCCGCAAATCCCCTGATAGCTCCGGTTTCATCCTGTTTTGCCCCGTTGCCACTACGACCCAGGACTCGGCAGCCCCGGGGCCCCGCAAAGTGGGCTCCCTATAAGCATTCATGGGGGAAATCTGCCCACAAAGGCTCGATTTTCTGCGTTTGTGCGAAGATTTGCTCTCAGACAATCAAAGTAGACCCTTTGAGGGTAAAACGGATTAGGGCTGGTTTCAACCGTTTCCTTCTTGTTGAAGCTGATTATAACTGTGCCCAAACATGATAACTATGATGCCAAGGCATTCTTCAGACCTCACACTGGAACTCAAACTTGAGATAATGCACCTCAGTGCTCAGTTTCTACAAGCTGTAGATATAATTGTATATACCTCACATAGACTACCTATCTCTGACTGTTAGCTGGTGGGGGAACATCCAACAACTTGCATGCGAAATCGGACGTAACACAAGTACCTGCTACCTGGCTGACATTGAGACCCACAAGGCGTGGCAAAGACGAGCTCCCTCCAAAATGAGCTTTATGGGGTTCCATGTTAGGATTCGGGAGGGTACTCCCTGTCGAGCCCTGTCCTCCGGCTTAGTTCCAGGACTCACACTTATGGTCCTGCCGCAAAAGAAACTTACACATTCATGCGAAGCCTATGCACGATCGCTAAACCCTATGAAAACCAAATTCAGATTAACCCCAAACGCCCACTTCATCATAAGACTGGCCATTGTGCCTGGTTATCTCAGCAACGGCAGCCTCATGCCATTGGCATAACGCAGGGAGATGTGCGAACCGCTTAGCGAAACACACCCCTTTTTGAGCCACATGGTAGCAGACGGCAAATGACCCGTGCGCATGAATTTGCTCAAGAAGTACGGATAAAATCTGTATTGATGACCTCTGCTGGCCAACACAAGGGCCAACCTAGGTTGTGCCGGATTTGGGAAAATGGTCACAGGCAAGCTCTGCAACAAATCTGCTGCCCGCTTAATGTCAGTGCGAATGACACCCAAAATTGGGTCCTGTGCCCTGAGAAGTCTGGACCAGTGCAGTGATCTGCCCCCCTGTGGGTGAATTCAGTCCGTGCTACGTTCCAGATTTGCACAGAAGAGCAAGACTGACTTGCGAACTCACTGATGAGCTCCGAACCTGCATGGCCAAGGACCCTGGAAACTGTTTTGCTGCTGCTGCTGCTGTTCTGAACGGGCTATGCAAGTCATACAAGCAGTTCTGTGTGTAAGCATTCGTACGGCCAAGCATTTGACTGGTAAACCCTTCCAAGACTGCAGTTGGGGCTTTTGCCTTGCGTACCTCAAGAACGAGAAGCGGTTCGGGCCATCTGCTATCTTTGAGCAGACTCACAACAGCGGCTAAGTCCTGGGTGGTTGCCGCTGACTTAGCGGGGGATGGGGAAGGAATTCAAGCATCACTTTCGGAGATCTTATAGGGACTATTCAGGGATTTGCTCCGCTACTCTCCATTGAGCGTAGGTTGTCCAGCAAACTGCCGAACCCCGGCTTTGATGGCAACGCTTGGCTATCAAGGCTTTGCAGTTGTTTTTGGCACAGAGTTCGGTCCCCTGAGCAGGCACCTGTTGTAGTAGAGATGTCTAGAAGCAATGTCCTCATCTGCTCCCCCCCCCCACCACTGGTTTATGCGCTACAAACGGTTCAACGTCATGGCCGTGAAGCTAGCTGATACTTGATGCTTCCCGTGCAGGTCCCTGCAGTTGGAGTAATTGTTCACAAGCTGGCCTAAAGCCTCAGCAAAATGGTCCTCGCTTCACAACATGGCTTTCACATAATTCCCACTGGCCAATGATGCAGGCGGTTCATGACAAAGCTACGATGGAAGTCAAAGTTTCTAAGGAGATCCGACATAATCCTTGAAGAGACACGAGGACGGGGACCCTATTTGGGGACTGTACGGAGGCTGTAAGTTCCCCTTATGGGTTATGTATGTTTATGTAAGGATTACCTGGGAGTTTCCTCAAAACCGCATTCAAAAAACTTGAAAAGACACCCCTACAATCCCGTTTTAATTGCCATATCTCCCTGGGGTCCCTCAGGGCATGTCCGCCGGCTTCAGAAAAACAACCAAAGTCAGACTTTGCAAGCACATCTTTGAAGAGATGGGGGGTTCTGAACGATGGGAGGGGGCCAAGGGGCCCCAGAGAAATGGGGATTGAAGAGGCATTATGGGTGCCCGTCGTATAGAGTGTATAGGGGTGTAGTCCCCCTTAAGTAGATAGATCATGGAATTGACCAATATTGTAATATGATCCCATATACCCATATTCTATCCACTTAAGGGGGGCCATAGTGTTGAGCAACTCCCTGGAAAACTCAACCCTAAACTCTCAAGGTCTGGACTGAACAGTCAGCTGGGAAAAATCTCATCCAGGCGTAGTCGCCTAAGGTTGACACGAAACTGTTAGCTGTGGGATTCTAGGGCTTCGGGCTTAGTGTTTGGGGTTCTAGGATTTGGGGTTTTGGATTCTAGGATACGGAGCTTGAGATTCTCTAGGGTTTGGGATTCCAGGTTCACAATTAAGGTTTGTGATTGAGGGAGTTTAGGGTTCATGGAGTCTCGAAGCTGAACATCGACCTTCAACTACGATATCAGATCTGGATAAGGTCGGATACATAAAGGTTGCCAGATTGCAGGGAAAGCTTGACAGGGATTCCCCAAGGTTGCTAGCTTTGTGCTTCATTTAGGGGATTGCTCCAATTGAAAGCCTGTGAGATCCAAATGGTCTCTAGAACATGTCTGACTTGTCTGCAGGTTGCATCCGTGGTTCTTCAATCTGGCGGCCAGGAAAGTATCCCCGATTTCTGTCAATGGACCCTTAAGCCGTGACTCTTATTCAGAGAACCAGGTAGGGAACTCCCCAAATAGGGTCCTCTTTATCAGGAGTCCCCAATCTATGGGAACAACCATGGAGCCCCATAATTGCTTTCTGGCGTAGCCCACAGCAGAAAGCACGCACATCAAACTCCCTTGAACCTTAAACTTCGCGCTTGACAGGAGGCGTGGCGTCTGGCAGCACTTCGGCGGCACCCGCGAAGTCCTGCCCTCGCAGCGCTATTCTGGTTTGTGACTGGTTTCGCCCAGCATGTTGCAAACGCTCCTTGCTCCCTGACGTGGGGAAACAAGTGCAGAAGCCCATACTACACTGACTGATGGAAATGGCCGCATGCTGTTCAACTGCAGGATTCGATTCACTTTGTGTCACGGTCTACAAGCCGAAACGTTTCAGTGCCAGTGGGCAGCAAGTCACAGCAACCGCGCCACATGGGTGTTGCCTCGAGTTGAGTCAGTGTAGGTAATGTAGCATTGCATGCCAGCTGCCTCAGCACCAAACCGCACGTTTCTTGGCAGTCTGCTGGAACTATAAATGCCAGCCCTGGCGCTTTCCCCTTCTTGCTGGCTGTTCCAAAAGAATAGTTCAACAATACGCCTACCTCGGAAAGGATGTAAACTGAGCTCAACACCAAAGCGGCGCTTAGTCCGATCCTTAGCCCCGTACTCAAACTTGTGCTTCTCAAAACCTTACTGAGTTCAACGGCGCCGTATGTGCACTGTAAATAAACATTTCCAGGCTGAGCAAGCCCTAGTAGTGGGTATATGAAAGCTTCTACAGGCTGATTCGCGACTGTTGCTGTATTCCGACTTCAGAAGATGCAACGACAGGACGAGAGCACGTATTGGTACAAATCCTCTCCCCTTAATGGGACGGTACCATATTCGGAATATCTATGCTTAGGGGGGGAGGATTCCTTATTGGCAGGATGGGTTGGAAATGGGATGGATTACATGGATGCAATGCTCCAGGGTCAATTGCCACCAGTGGTTCCTGGGTGGTTAACTCCATAGCAAAAAGGAATTTCAGTAGAGGCATGCCCTCGTTTTTTTTGCAGCAGTCCCAAGCTCCCATGTGTGCAACCTAGTGCGGTTGGAGAAATCTTGTAAAAAACACGCCAACTACCCCTAGGAGGTCAGCATTATGGGGTCCCCGGCAATGCGATATGGGGGTTATAGGTGGGGCGAGATTCCCTTCATTGAGCGCAGGATTCTGTGTTCCACCCGCTTCATAGATACGGAGTGGCTAGCTTCCTGCCAGTTCATCCGCGTAATCCCATTAAAGAGACGTCATAAGGTCCTTCAGCGACGGGGCTTGAAAGGACGAGTAACCCAACACTCGCTAAGGCTTTCTCAAGGCTCGCACCATCAACCCCATGTTTCAAGAGACTCCTCAACCATGAACAGTAAAACCTGAAGCCTGAACCCTAAACCTAAACCGTAAGCCCTGAAACCCCAATCTAAAAGAATCAAGTATATGAGAAGCGAACAGTCACCAGCTTTCTTCGCCATGCCAAGACCCCCAAAATCCAAAGCTGCGTTGCATACACGCCACTTCTAAATTGACCATACAGAAGCCTTTGCCGGGGCGTTGATTGGTTTGATTGCTGGTGGGGATAACTGCGGGCATTCTATGGCTTACATCTACAAATATACTTGCTAAGTCCTCCGGCCCTCCAAGTAATCCTTACATAAACCCAGCTTCCACTTCGCTCTTCATCTGATTCTCTAGGTGATATTCCCACTACCCTCAGACAGCCTAACCGAAAAGCTTTCGAAGCCCTTGCTGGGATGCTCAGAGCGATGCTTGGAATCCTCTACGACCACGCAGCACTCGGCGGGGACACCCAGACCTCCAGCGGCTAGTAGATGCATGACCAAACACTAGGGGTGCAGGGTTCAGGGTTGTGTTGCTAGTTGTAATCGCAACTTTAAGTTGAAGATCAGGAAATTTCTGGTTGTAACTTAGGCTCTTCCCCTACCCATGGTCTACATGTCTAGTTACTAGTTCTTTCTAAGAAGTTCTAAGTCTTTGGGTTTGTAAGGCTTTCTGAGACATCTAGTTGAAAAGGCCTGAGACCATACAGTAAAGCACCTTAGAGGTATGCTATATCCTCAAAGTAAGTGCATAATTTGCCTATTGGAACCCTTTTTAAGTAGTCCCCCAATCCTTTAGTAACCTTGTAGACCCATAAAAATAGCTTACGGTTGCGGGTGGAAGGAGTTGGGAACCTCTGGGAGTTTGGAGGTTTCCATGAAGGGTGGTGTACGTAGGGGTTTAGGGTTCAGTTTCATGTTTGGGGTGCGTGGTGGTCGGGCTGGGCAATGAAAATGCATGCGTGACATTGCAGTTAAGCAGCATCTGAAGAATATGAAGCGTCTGAACCCCTAGCATGAGGCCCGCTGAAATCAAGATTGAACCGCAGGATGTTCGAAGCGAGCGGAGCCATACCGCACGGCATAATTATGAAAGATCCACAGAGTTTTTCCAGGTTCATTTCAGGCTTCTCCGAGGTTTCTTGGAGCTTACAAACCCCTGCAGGGGCGACCTCCCTTTTGAAGGTATTTCTTGTTTTGGAGACGCATGGGAAGAGCGCGGCTGAAACAACGATAGCGGAATGCAAGTTTGGGTATCTTGCTGGCTGGCTTCGAGAATTTTGCCCCCCCTACAGTTGGAAACGGAACGAGACCCTGCCCCAGTTCTCGCAGATGCAAGGTTACTAGCGTGGAAAAGCCTCCCCCTGCAGTACCCACAGTCCAAATGTCAGGGCACCATGAACTCCGTAGTGCAATATGGTACAGGAAAGTAGTTACGACGAAGAACAGCGACAGCCAGACAAACGCGGGCAGGCAAGGATGTGCAGCTCTCTGATACAGAAATGATATAACATGTTAAAGGATGCGAAGCAAGGTCCAAGAAAAACTTTTTCCAACCTTGGGGTGATATACTCAGTATATACATTGCAACAGAGTATTCATCGCGACTTCGGAACAATCCATTGGTTGCTTCGCTGTCAGTTCTCTCGGGAGCCCGCGTTTGGATGCCAGCTGATAGATCAAGGGATCCGGCTTTTTCCTCAGGTGACGTGGCTTCGCTGCGGATATATGAGGACTGTCCCGTGTCGGCTTGGGGTGCGAAAAACGGAGCCCTCCTTGAACACGGTCCATACTAGGACGGGGTATGGGACCTTGAAATTCGACAGGCCCTGAATCCACCGAAGTTTGGGTTCCAATGGGAAATGTAGGGGCCTGGTCGCCCATCCTATCATGCAACGGCCCAAGGAAAGCTCCCGCACATACTTGGGGGATAGGCACGAAACGTTGCGGGTACTTACGCTTCCAAATAAGCGTCTTACGGCTGGTGGTCTGCAGGGTTGCCTCCATGCCACGCAAGCTTGTGGTAAATGATCATTCTGGCTATCGTACGTGACAAACTACGAATGCACTTGAAGGAGCTGGCTGATTCAGGTTGGCACTGGCTCAGCAAGACTTTCCTGCTGAAAGACTGACTAGGTCACTAGGTCAAAGAATACAGCAGATCATAAACGAGGTGTTCCCGAATTGCCCCTCTACAACCCCTGGTAGCAGCAGGCTTGGATGTGCAGCTGAAAAACTTCTGAACATATTCGCAACCAAAGCTGTGCAACGAAAGGTCCTGCTGACATCGTCGCCCAGCAGAATCAAGTCGAAACGTTGTAGGCGCTCCTCCTGCAAACCGCCAGACACGTGCCCAGAGTTCTCCAGTGCGAGAAACAAACGTGTGCGCTCCTCACGTGAAGATTTCTTTCTACATGGGCCCTTTATTCTCACTTTTGCGCAGTGCTGGTTTACTGTGCGGGAGCGCTTCGGGGGATTGCTCGCAACTAGTTGTTTTACGTACCAGCATTATAGTTGCCAATATCTCTCCCGGAGAAACAGGTTCCAGATGGCTCCAGTTAACTATGCGCCAGAAGAGACCAAACAGCCCGCGTGGCAGCGCATGATGTGTTGTTGAATTGTGCAGCCTGAGCCTCCGGCACCAACGACTGCTGAAAGAACCTGTTGGGCGGCTTCTTTCGTCCCGGCCTAAGCTCCAAAGCTGTGGGGCTTCTGGGGTTACAGGGTCTCTGGTAGAGGGCTATAGGGTTTTCGCCACTTGCATGGCTGAACAGCTGCGCAAATTGTGCTTCCAGTGTCTCAAGCTAATTGCACCGGCAGCTTAGTGGAGCAAAGATATCGCACGTGCCAAAAACACCCAACTGTCAGGAACATCTCTTTCGGCACTGCCAAAACACCTCTCACCTTGATCTTGCTAACACGCATGGCAGTCTGGCTGTTGAAGGACGTCGTCATGAATCCTCGCCCCTGCCTGGGAGCGCTGGTTCTTGCACGAAGTATCGCACCAAATTCTAATTGAGCGTGTAGGACTCTGGGTTGAGCAGTGAATATTCTTGGGAAGTATAGCCGAGGCGCTGCGCGTACTCTTGTTTCCAGTCCTTGTCTAGACCTATTTCCCTGAAATACGCCACTCTTCAGCCACCCTAGTAGTCGGTAGTTAGGTTGTAACGCCCTCCCAAAATCCTTCAGGCAAGGTAAGTAGTTGATGTTCGGATGAGGGCCAGTGCTGAAGGCAGAACGCATCCTTCAGAACTCGGTGTCATTCCCATGGCTTAGGGTTTGGCTGGGACTTGCGGCTTTCGGGTTTAAGGGTTTAGGGTTCCACAAGTCGTACTGCCATCGGGCAACGAGGCGAGTCGTCCTTTGCGGAACATGGCTCAAAGCATTTTGGGGCTGCAAACGCGTGCAATTTCCCACCCACACCGTAGCTCATGGGCCGGCGCAAAGCAGTGGAGCCCCTCAAGTCAGGAAAGTAGAAATTATCCGCAAGGAATGCCCACATAACTTTGTAACCACCCTGTGGAAGTAGGGCCCTAACCCCTTCTGAAAGTAGCAGTCCCAGGGGATCGAGGCTTGAATTTACGGCTGTAGAGTCTGAGTCTGAGCCCAGTTTCAGAGCAGATCGCCATCCTCAGTCTTAGCGAGTTTTACAAACATGTGTGTAATGGGGGGGGGTGTTTAGGGAATTCTTCAAGTTGGCGTTCTAAAGTTGTTTTGGCGGGATTTTCCCAAAATGAGGTGCTGGCATTCCCAACATGAGGATCGTTCCTCTTGCTGGCGGCAAAGAACTATTGATCGCTAGTGCTTCCGGGTAGTGCATGTAAGCACTACACGGAAAACACAAATTCAACAACTCCAATAACCCTAAGCCCTGGAACCTAAGCAGTTTCAAGACAAATCAACCAGTACAGAGATCCGATCTGCACCTCCCCTTTATCACCTGTGGGCTTCAGGAAAGGCTATTACCCGATTATGACTTTGAGCAGCTCTACCCTCCTGATATTGGCGTGGTGATATTTTGTGAGACCGCAACGTCGAGAAGTTCTGGACTTACCGCATTCATATCCGCAGTACCTTGCATGCAACACAAAAGCCACGCTTCCACTGTTGTGGGATGATGGGCCTGGGGTTCCAGGTGTCAAAGTATTTGATTGGCAGTGAGTGTTTGACAACAAACGCAACCATAGTTGACGCTTGATCTTTGAACATCACCATAGCAGTCCCAAAATTTCGCGCAAAGCCCGAAGAGTCGCAAAATCTCAACTCCCTGGCCACGAAGCCCTTAATATCCCGTCGACACTCCTCTGACCAGCCCATCTCAATCCTTGAAGCCTGCAACCCCACGCCGAAAACCCACAACCCATAAACACGAAAGTCTAGGGCCGAAGAGCTTCAGATCTTGCATGCACACCCCTACCAATAAATCATGCAAATATCTAGACACACTATATCCTCCACATGATGCACGCATACATGCATGCGTGCAGGTTCATATTTCCACTTGTTTCTAAAAACACATACACTTCAAGGTGCTGTGTCCTCTATGCAGACTGTACACTCTAAACAGCACATCCATGTATATACGACGTATGTATATGCAAAGGCCCTTCTTTGGTAATGAATCCCACGTTGCAACCGAAAAGCTTCAGGTCTTGTCGCTCAAGGCCTTCCTCGATCAGCTCCAGGATCCCGGGCCGGGCTGAGGCCTTGCCAGACCTGGGCTCATATAGGGATAATGGAAAAGAAAATGGAAACTACTATAATGGGGTTATATAGGGATTATAGGGGTATAGTATTTAAGGGTTATGTAGGGCTAATGGACAAGAAAATGGAAACTACTCTTAATAGGGTATATAATGGGGTTATAGTCCTCCTTTAAGTTACAGGGTTCAGGCAAGAAGGTATAGTATAGGGTTTGCCACTTGCATGGCTACCCAGCATCGCAAGGTCTGATAGTATAAGGTCTAGGGTTTAGGGAGGTTTCCATACCAAGTGGACCCCATTATGGGAACCCTCTGTGTATGTATGTGTATATATATAATATGTGTGTGTATTTCTTGTTTTGTTTACATACATGTTGCCGGATGTTCTGGGATTTGCTTTCGTGCATTTAGCCCCGTGAAATTTGTTTGCAGGTAAGGTCCTGAACAAAACGCCCAGAAAATTCAAACAACTTCCCCAATAACGGCCCAGGTTTCAATTGCTTGTCATGATGATGCTGCTAAAAGCACTGGGAGAATACGCACAGCATATGGGGAAACCCAGGCAGTGATATGCAATGTACTCGCTACTGGTAACATTTTCTTTCAGGACAGCCCTATAGCCAAAATCCAATCAGGCCAGAATTGAATCCGATATACAGCCAAGCCCCCCATCTTGCAGGCTTGAAAGGGCTACCACGAATAGCAGTACTGCAACATTCCAAATCCCACTTCGTCATTTGCAACCCCAAATCCAGCCCCTGGCGTGACGTAGCCACGGTAGATTTCTGTTTTTCGGTCCTGGAGGTTGTGAAATCTCAAAGGCGAGCGCCGTGGGGAATTTCTCAAGTGATTATGGAAATTCTCTTCAGGATTCTACTATTGCTGTTACTGTTGATCGAGATACTTTCTTATGCTTCGGACGGCCATGCAAGATCATGTCCACAACACCATGGACAGCCAAGAAAGGCCAACACCCCTAGATTCAGGAACATACCCTGAATGATACCAGAAAAGGATTTTGGGCTCCTGGGAGGATGCTAGTTGCCAGGACACCTGGGACTACGGTGCTGATCTATGGATTTGGTAGTAGCATTCCTCAGGTCCTCTGGTTAATGAAATCTGGGAAGACTAAATTGTCCACAAGCTTGTGTAGTTGCATACGGGGATGCTATCTAGCTTGCAAAGCAGTTAGAATTCATGTTCGCCATTACCTAGTATGGCTGATTGCCACGAGAAGCATGCCATCAAATGGTGGCCGAAACTAGCCGAAGGCTCTAGGATGTAGCGAACGGTTTTCTGGCCGTCTTCCTGAACACTGAACCCTCGTGAAGCCTGGCTGGGAGCATGTGCTGTAAACCCTAGACCCCAGACACCAAATCCTCAACCTCAAGCCCTGTGTACTCTAGAACTCAAGAGTATATCCTAAACCTTAAGCTCTGCAAACCCCCTAGAGCCGGCAGTGCCTGAACTCTTTATTTAGACCCTGAAGCTCAAGTCCCGTAGCCTGAACCCCCAAACTCAAACCCTCAAACCCTACATCCAGCAAACCCTAATAACCTCCCCAAACTAACATGGGGAATCGCATAGAGCCCACGTAATTACAGTAAACCTTCATAGCGCATTCTTTGAAGTTCCTTGCTAATTTTGGTAAGGATACACCCTACATACTCAGGCCTGCAGGGCGTCGATCAAAGCCTCCTGGCTTTGTTCATCGGTTGGTGCAGGGCCCAAGCGCGAGGACGGCCACCCAACTTCTCCTGACCACTAAGGGTTTCTGAAAGTTAGGGGTCCCCTAGAACCTCTAGGGCCCTTCTCAGGTTCCATGTTCGCTTGGGCAGCGTAAGCGGCACAGGGAATGTATCATTTGAACTGTTAAACTACAAGATTTTGTGTTTGAGGCTGCTTCGCTCAAAGAGGCTCTTCGGTTCAGTTGGAGGCTTGAGCACATCATGGCTACTTGTTGTGCAAGCGGACTCATCGACTCAGTAACGGAGAGCTCCGAGGGTAGGTTCCCTGGTGCCGCCGTCTAGCGGAATTGGCGGTGAACCTCAATCCGAAATCGTGCAGCCTCTCATGCAAAAATGAAAGTGCCCAATCTGCAGTTTTCTTCCCAAGTTCTTACCACTCCTCCATTCCTACAACTGGTCAGGTGGGCATATTTCAAAGCATTAGTTTCACGCAGAATGTTAACCTGAAAGGGCAGAGCGTATTCATTGACCTAGAACTCGAATGGCTTCGAGCCTTGCTTTGCCATCAGCTTTGTGACAGGTACCCCTGCCTGTGAACAAGTCCTGAACAAGCCTTGAGTAGGTGGACTCGCTGCTCAAATAGGAACCCAGGCTCCCAAAGAGTGTCTGCATGGCCGACTACTGGGGCCCGGGCTGAAATGGTAGCGCATCTTTGGCTTGCCTGGGAGCAGATGGGGACCTGTTCCTACAGCATACGAGTGTACATATGTATGTATGTATGTATGTATGTATGTATGTATGTATGTATGTATGTATGTATGTGTGGGCATACATTTGAAAATATCTTTATATGCATATATAAAGGCCACATGAGGAATGCCCACATACTACTGAAAGAGCAAGGGAACAAGGAGGTCATGGAGTTGGAGGGGTGCTTTCTGCACTCCGCTGTCGGTAGCTCTGACATTCCGTTAACTTGACCCTTGATTTCATGACGCCACGCGATTCCGACAGGCTTCAGACTCCCCGGAAACAAGAGTAGAATGTGCTCCATGGTGCCTCGGAAGCTACTTTTTGAAGGGCCAAGTGGCTCGATCACTAATACCAAGGGGATTACACTGGCGGTTCCAAAAAGCAGGGCTATCTTTTGGATTCGTCATTATATGGTATCTCTGGGTGCGCCCCAATTATGTGTAGTGCTGGGGCTCCAAACGGAACGATCTTGTGAGTCACATGGGCCTCCAAGTGATCATTGAATCTTGCCTGTCCCGTGCCCCGGAAGAACACGGGTTTAGGG